AGACTTTACACAGAGAATGGAGAAAAAACTGGTTTTTTTCTTTAAAGAAAATAAAAAATAAGACACATCAATGCAGAATGTATGGGATACAATGAAGGCATATGCCAGGTTTGATAATAGACTATACAAGGAAAAGAAATATTACGAAAAGACTAGCCTAAATAAAGGACTTGAAAAAGAGTTACAGAGAATGCCACAGAAAAAGGTCATTAAGTTAAAAATGGATACAATTAAACATAAAATGGAATTAATGGAAAAAGAAGAATTAGCACAGAAAATCAGAGGGGCGAAGCAGAACTATTTTGATGATGCAAATAAACAAGGTAGATGGTTAGCATATAAACTGAGAAAGGAGAGAGAATCAAGGAAAATACTGCAATTAATAGATGATCAAGGCAAAGCTTGCTATGGAAGTAAAGAGAAGAAAATTATACGAGACTATTATGGGAAACTATACACACAAGAGAATATTGATGATGAAAGAGTTAAACAGTACTTACAGAATGCTACCCCAGCTACCTAAAGAGATTGAAATAATGCTAGAAAGCAATATAACGATGATGGGGTTAACTGAAGCACTTAAGAAGCAAAATAATGGAAAGACACCAGGCCCAGATGGACTTCCAGCAGAATTTTATAAGACATTACAAAAATCGTTGACTCTTTCATTTTTAGAAGTTATTAATGAAGTTATGTCAAAGAAGAGGACACCCAAATCATGGTCAGAAGCTTATATTACACTTGTCCCAAAAGAGGATGCCGACCCACTACAAATCAACTATAGACCTTACTAAACTCAGATTATAAAATTTTTGCTTCAATACTGGCAGAAAGACTCGAAAAATACTTAAATAACTTTATTCACCCTGATCAAAATGGATTCCTGCCGAAGAGACAAATCAAAGATTTGGAATATTATGAGGCACACCCTGAAAAACAAATGGCTTTGATATTTCTAGATGCAACGAAGGCCTTTGACAATGTGAATTGGTGATTTATGTTATTACAGCTGGAGCAGATGGGCTTTGGTAAAAAAATTATCCATGCAATAGAAGCTATATATTATAAGTAAACGGCAAAGGTAATGATAGAGGGAGAATTGACGGATACTATTGACATAAGAAAAGGAACAAGACAAGGCTGCCCATTGTCGCCTCTGTTGTTTGTGTTAACTTTGGAAGTGTTAAACAGAAATATTAGAGAAGAAAAGGATATAAAAGGGATGAAAATTAATAAGGAAGAATTTACATTGCAAGCATTTGCGGTTGATCTGGTTTTCATTTTAGAAGATCCATTAGAAACAGCATTAAAACTGATAGAAAAGATAGAGGTATATGGAAAGGTAGCTGGTTTGAAAATAAATAAAGATAAAACAAAGATTTTGACAAAGAATATGTTATTAAGACAAAAGGAAGAATTGGTGGATGTTTTGAAAATTCAGGTAACAAATAAGATCAAGTACTTGGGGATACATTTGACAGCAAGATGTAGCACACTTAAAGAGAATAATTATATTAAACTCAAGAAACAGATAGCGATAGATTTGGCGAAATGGGAAAACTTACAATTGTCATTAATAGGGAGAATATCAACAATCAAGATGAATATATTACCCAGAATTTTATATTTGTTCCAAACAATTCCAATCAGGCTTGGAAAAGATTACTTTGAAGATTTAAATAAAATTGTGTTGAAATATATATGGCAAGGTAAGAAAGCGAGAATAAAATTAAAACTCTTGCAAGAAGCTAGAATAAGAGGAGGATTTGGTCTGCCTAATACCAAGCTACAAATCTGATGTGGGTTAAGGAATGGATAACATTAAGAAATACTAGATTGTTGACATTAGAAGGACATGATCTGTTGGGGTGGCATGCCTTCCTATGGTACAAAGGAACTAAAACACAGGGGTACTTTAGAAGATGTTATATACGGGAGGCTCTTTGGTTAAATTGGGAGAAGACTAAAAGGCAATGTTTGTTAGGAATAACCATAGTTACCTAACGTTGTTTGGGTAAATAATATATAAACCATGATAGCAAAGTTTAAATGTGTTTTTCACTTTAAACTCTAAATGATATAATTTGGGTGCGGTTGAGAAACTGCCATAAGAGGGAGCTAGAGAACCTGGATTGCTACTGGATTGATGGTTGATTGTTCTGCGTGTTCCCTGTTGCTGACATTGAAGGAGGAAAGAGTTTTGAATGCTGCATATCTAATCTACTGTGAGAAGATATTTACTGGACTGATTTATGGATTGACATTGTAAGTTAACTGACCTTTTTTTCGACACTGGATTTTTGCAATTGAACAATCTCCGGACTGAACTGACTGAACACTAGTGAATGATATTTGGACTGTTTGACCCTGCTAAACTCTTAATGGAATAAACTATTCAACTAAGACAGTGTATCCGTTTTTACTGAGTGTGTAAACTAAAAAACGCTTTCTCTCATATTCGCCTGACTGCCTGACTGCTGTGCACATTCTGCTAGGGTATATCCCTAACAATGTTATTTGAAAATTCCAGTCTGGCTATCGACTATCAAAGCATTTTCTTATCCTATAATATACAAAAAGGAACAAACAGTTAGATGTGGTGAAATATTGAATGAAAAGGGTGAACTTAAATCTATGCAAAAACTAGAGGAACAAGGTATAAAGATGAATTGGTTTTCATATGCGCAAATACGTTCTAGATATGATAAAGATTCTAAAACAGAAGGTTTCTATAATAAATTGACTGATTTAGATAAGATTTTTACAGGTACTGATGAAAAGGTGATTAAAAAATTGTATGGATATTTATTAGAAATTAAGCTAGAAGAACAAGTCAAAGAAACAATGATTGCTTGGGGGAAAAATTTTTGGATATGGGATTGATTTAGCAATGGTGGCAAAATGATGGCAAAAATTGTGGTCTCAAAATTATAAAATGACAATGTCAATAGCTTATAAAGAACATTTGTATAAGATGTTTTACAGGTGGCATCTTCCCCCAACAAGAATAGCAAGAATGTTCAAGAACAAATCTGAAAAATGTTGGACATGCCTAGCTCATATTACCATATGTGGTGGACGTGTGTGGATGCTAAAAGATATTGGACTAAAATCCACACGTGGTTGGAAAAAATGACAAAAAAACATATAGACTTGAAACCAGAGATATTTTTATTGGGAATTTTACCTGAAATATACAGTAAGGAATTGAAATATTTAATTGTAAATGTATTAACAGCGGCTAGGATTGTATTTGCTAAAAACTGGAAAAATGAGAAAATACCAACACAGGAGGAAGTTATTAAGAAAATAATGGAACGTGCTGAAATGAGTAGATTGACATTTGAAATCAGAGAACAAGAAGGTAAACAATTTCATAAGATTTGGGATTTATTTTATCAATGGTTGGACAATAAAACATGGTAATGAAATATGTAGATTTTTAGAATATAAAGAATATATAAAGATGTATTATTTTCATCACAATCATAATATAATTATAGGATAGATTTGGGATGATAATATGAATTGTTATAAAATAAATCAAGTAAAATATGGATTGTCTTGCAAAATATGAATAATAGTATAGTCAAATGGTTGATTAATAATGATATTAATGTATTTAGGAATATTTGATGGACAATATGAGAATATATACAAGTGATGACTATGAAGTGAATGCACAAAACAATTTGTAAACCAACTGACACACTGTATGTACATATGTGGAAGATGGCTTGATGTTTTTATGTTCTGTTTGTCTATGTTTGTCTAAAAAAAAACAATAAAACTTTTTTTAAAAAAATGTTTATGGAGAAAAAAAACATATGCTATAAAAAAGATAATAATTTCAAGATCTTATTTACAATGGAGAATGCAACTAGACCAGAATTGTAACATTTTCAACAGTTAGTCCATAAGCAATCCAGAGACTAGGTGTGGAATCACCCCAATTTTCTTTTAGCTCCCTAGCTAACATTTCTCACAGTAGACTATAATGACTATAATGCAATATAATGCAAAGCAAACTTTTGGTTTAAAGTTTGCTTTAAATTTACTGGGCCTATTGTTTTAAAAAAAATATTCCATCATTATTACTTTATAAGTAACTCATGGTGACAAACATACCAATACTCTTTCTTCCTATTTTCCCTCCAATAACAACTTTGTGTGATAGGTTGGGATGAAAGAGAGTGGTCAAAATAACTTAGCTGGCTTTCATGCCCAAGGAGTGACTAAATCTCATAGTCTACTGATTTCTAGCCTGGTGCCTTAACTTCTAAATCAAAGTGACTCTTAAGGTAAGAAGCAGTACTACTATCTTTTAGAAAATGAGAGGTAATACCAGAATTCTTCATCCTTCACAGAGAGACTGTCCCTTCCTTTATGAAGGAAAAGGTGTCTATTGTTTCAAGGAAATAATCAATTCTTATATGCTATATTTAGTACATGCTAAGCTGACCTTCCAGCTGCTGTTTGGCAGAAGCTTTTGGAGCAAACTGTTATTGCTCATGGAGCAACATGAAAGTCCTATAGTTCAGTGTCTTTTCTTACTCTCATATTACCTCTGTCCTGGTGAAAGAGCATATTGAAGTGATTTAAAAGACAGAGGACCTTACCATTACCTAGCACTGGCCATTGAGAATAATGCCTTATCTCATCATACATTCACCATTTCTTATCTAAGAAGAACAAAAGGAAATAAAGTGATCTAATATTTATTTACGTTATCCCAAAGCAAAGGTTACCAGATGGGAAGACCATAGACTACTGGGGTAAATGAGGAACTGCTCTGAAAAAAGGAAGTACTGCTTAATCTAAAACAAAATATTAATCTGAGTCTTTGTTCTGTCATACTAGCATGCAGGGAGTTGAAGCCCATCTTCTGATGAATTCCACTTTCTTGAGCCATATTTTTTCCTTGGGTAACCTCCTCAGAATTAAAACAATCTTGATATATGCTACAATTACATTTCTAAAGAATAAAGATTAACTCTCACCTGCACTGCCTGCCGCTCATAGAGTGTCATTTGCGATATCTGAGGGCGAGTGCTTCCACCAGAGCCTGAACTGCCACTGGCTGAATTTGAATTCTGCTCACTTTCCGTCTCCATTGTGTCAGGTCCCAAGGATTCCTGTCTGAAGTTTTGTTTCAAACTCTAGAAGAAGGAATTAGGATTATTTTATGTGAAAAATATGCCTACATTACAAACTTATATGAATATTTTCTGTCTGAAATATTCCGTATCAAAATATACCTACTGTATGATGGAGCGAGTGTTAGTAATATACTAATCATCCAAAATTACACAAGATTTGTTTTACAAAATAACTGTTCCTTCAACAATAAGGCAAAATAAAAACAATGAAGTGATGAGACAAATGTTAATTTTTAACAATAAACAATAAATACACAATTATGGTATCACATTCTTATACAATACAGCTTGAATGTATAGACATTTGATGAGCCATGGAATTCTATTTTCACACAGGGAATTTCATGGCAAGATTCCTAATATCCAAAGTATGTTTTGCAAGCTGAACTAATTAAACGATGTACTTTTAAAATGTTATAGATGTTTCAATATTAACTCATATGAGAAGTCCAAAAATTGATCTCCTTATGCACCAAAGGTCTCAAAATATAAATATAAAACACCTCAATCTGAGGCAATTAGCTGGGGTGCACTTTTTTTCTGCTATCCCATGGACTTCTAAATGTTGCTGAACTATTGAGTCCCAGTTTCTGGCTCACAGGACATCAAGCTCCTTGGGAAGTAATTTTGTTTTAATCCTGCATGGAACATATTCTCCATACAAGAAATGCAGGGAACAATCATTTTGTCTACATAAATAAAAAAAAACCTTCTTCATGCAGAGAAAATACATCCTTAATCTCTTCTATGTCCTATGCAAAGTAAAGTTAGGTATGCTCACCTATCACAACAATAAAGCTAATATTGAAGATTGCTAAGCATTGTATTTCTAGTAATAGCAAATTATGAAAGGTTTGACAGTTTTAACAATTATCATTTCTATATTATATATAACCCCCAATTTATGACCATTCAAAGTTATACTGGTGCTACCCAAATGGTAGTTACACCCAGTCCTTTAAATTCTGGCCACTGAAGTGTCACATGATCCAATTCAAGCATTGGCAGCCTACTCATATTTATGACTGAAGCAGCTGTTCAATTCCACCCCACCTATTTCCTCTACATCTCTGCCTTTTGGCCACTCTGCACTCCATCACATATCCCTGCTACTTCCCCCACTTCCCACCTGTCCTTTGCCATCTTCTTCCTCCTCTTGTTGATTGGATCCAGAAGGCACATGAGGGTGTGACTCTGGGATGCACATAGTAAGTGCGGCAGTATGGTGAAACTTCATCTACAAGGGAGCTCTCAGACAGGGATAAAGATGGGATGGCAAGATGAAGTGCTCTCCATTACCAGAGACAAGGCTGAAGAGGTGGCAGTGGCTTCTGGGTGAATGTGGAATATTCACCCAGAGGCGCTATTTAGGGTAGTAGAACTGGAGGAAGTGCAGTGCAGACTGCAGTTCACATTAGAAGCTGGGCTTTGCATTAAAAAGTTTGGGCCAAGAATGAGCAAAAGGCTGGAGAGGTTCTGTCAGTGCTGGCTCATCATTACCCCTCACTGAAACGTTGCAGGCTGGTTCTCCAAAAGCACTTTTGAGTGAACTGCAGAGTTCTGTGGGCTTTGCCGTATCTGTAGGCTTTAGCATATTAGAAAATACTGGCCATTTACAAGACTTTTCTGGAGGAAGGCTAGGCTTAGAGCAAAGGGAAGGCCTGTGGCGATGCTCTGCCATCACTTGGCTTATTTCCACTCCTTGCTGAAGCCCGAGGATCTCCAGGAGTGCTGCCAATGCAAGCTGCAGAGCATGCACTGTGTCTCCAGGAAGCCTTCATCCCCTCTGCTTTCTCCAGTTTACGGCTACCCCAAACAGCATCTCTCACACAACCTCTAACCTTTACCATGTGAGCTATCACCTCTACCCTGTCTTGGTAAGTAATGAAGTATGCCGCTTCACACTTCATTGTTCATTCTACCATCTTTCTAGCTGGGTCTGACAAGTTCCCTTTGAAAGACAAAGCTCTGCCATCCTCCCATATTTGTTGCCTACAATCTGGGCTGCATCCTTGCTCAGCACCTGGGCCAGCAACAGAGGAAGATGGCAAAGATCAATTGAGTGCAGCAGGGATAGGCAGCAAAGAGAACTACAGTAAAAAAGGCAGAGATTGGGGAGAGATAGTCAGATGGGGAAGCTGAAATAGAGGTAAATTGTGGTCACTAAGCAAAGTAAGCGGATGGTACCTCCAAATAAGATGTTGCCTGCCCGGGCCTCCACCATCCTGGGGCACCCTTTGCATAGATCCCCGCTCTGCTGGGTACATTTTTAGCCCTTCTCCTCTCCATCATGCCAAACTCCACTTTTTTCCAATAAGCTCATGTTACCATCATGTTACATTTCTTTAATACAAAGGCAATTCGTGGCCTCCCAGAAAATTTTTAGAAATTCCCAAATGCTGCCTGCTTCTGGAAAAAAGTGGCCTCTATATACAAAGGCCACATGGCAGATCAGCCACTTATTTCCAAAGGGTGAAGTTCTGCCTTTTCAAAGAGAATTGGCTAATATACCTCACAGCTTTCCTATGTAGAGGATGCACAGGGATTGGGTGGGGGAAGTTGGCATCACACGGCTTCTGTAAAGAAAGGCTGCTTCTCCTTGGGAAAGATAATCTTTTAAAAAGATGAATGGAGTGAGCCATGCCCCCCGAACACTGATGTTAGTCCTGTAGAACAAAACAAAACAAACAGGGAGAGAAGGATAAAGCAGGAACATTTCATTCTCATCCACGCTGCGCCAAGAGTCCAGGATGAATTAGATTCCTCCTTATTACATCATAGAGCTGAGTCTGCTCTAAAAAGTCAGCCGCTAGCCAGATCCCCAGCTTTGACTCAGCTCCTTAGTCAATCGAGCTTCATGTCTAGGAAGCATAGTTGGCGATTGTTGCTAGTCAGGAAAGCAGGAAAAGGATTTGTTTTTCACTTAAAAACCTTCGGCACAGCTCTCAGGGCTCCGATTGAGCTGTGCCAGCTGTAGAGCGGGGATCCGCTCTCCGGCAGCATCAGGGATCTGGTGCTGCCTTTGGGAGGCTGCAAACAAGGGAAGAGCTCAGAAACACAATCCTCCCAGGCATTTCTGGCTGCCGCGAGCCGCAGCAATAGCCTTTCAGCGCCTCCCAGCTGTTCCCTCAAGGCTGCCGTTCGCTCCTGGGTCTCTCCCTTTCTCGGGGCTCTTGTGGCCTATAGAGCGACAGAGGCTCTCTAGGTATTCTTCGGGGAGCCTCTCCACGTGCTGGTGGCCATTTTATCATCTCAGCCACATCACACGAGGACGGCGGCCATTTTAGTCAGCTAGAAATCATCAGATTGTCTTCATCTGTGTACTCTAGTCGCCTTTTGGGAGAGTTTACCCAGTTAAATCAGGGGACACGTATTGAGGGTTGCTCCAAGCACCTCTTGTGTACCCCTTGTTGGATCATGGATGCCTCCAAGCAGGTGGCCCCTGAACCCCAGAGGGATTCTTTTGCCCAAGGGGATTCTTTGTTTTCTAAACCTGTGGTCCACACAGAGGTCCTCCCCTCTCCTCTGTTGTCTCTGGACCTTGTCAAAGAACAATGTGCCTCCCCCGCTGCTGGGCCTAGACCTTCATCTCACGACTGATGCTTCTACAATGTAGGGCTTGCCTTGGCCTCTGCCTTGGTAGTCCCTTCAGTAGATGCTCCAGTAGTGGCCTCCTTCTCCTCCTCTGGCACCCCCACCAAACCAGAGGACATGCTCAAGGCCAAGAACAAGAGATCAGAGTAAACGCTCAAATGTAACCACCAGGCCTCGGCTTGGGCTGTTCGGGCTTCGACAGCAGCGTCTTTTTTTACTAGAGCCTCACTCCGCTGGCTGCATCAGTTACAGGAGCACCTTCCTCTGTCTGATTTTAGATCTCATCAAGACCTGAACAAAATCATCACAGCAGCTGAATTTACGGAGATGCCACTCTGAATTCAACCAAGTTTGCCTCTAGAGCCATGGCCTCCTCAGTCACAGCGAGACGTCTACTTTGACTCTGGAACTGGCAATCCGACTCACAACGTAAGTGGAAGCTGGCATTGGCTCCTTGTGCAGGTGAGAAGTTCTTTGGTGAGGCCCTAAATCCATACCTGGTCGAGACCAGGGATAAGAGGAAGGTCCTCTCTTCGACAGGGGTGGACTTCCGACCAGCTCCTTGCTTCTGTCCTTTATCTTTTCGGGCCGAACCTTCCCCTCGCTTCTCCCATCTCAATGACAGGAACAGCGTCCTGAGGCGACTGGCAGACAGCAACACCAATATACAGGATGGCCCAGGGCTGTTGGTCACAGACAGAAGGGTCCTGTCTGATAAACTGGTTGGAGCTCAGGGCTATCTTCCTGGCCCTCAAACATTTCCAGGGTGACAGGAGGTCACATGTTGACAAGAGGTCACATGTTAGTGATGACAATATGGTCACAAAGGCACACATCCACCGGCAGGGGAGAACAAAGTCCAGGGCCTTGATGAAGGAAGCCGAATGCCTAGGGCATTGGGCAGAGAGGCACCTTTTGTCCATCAGGGCAGACCACATTTCCGGGGTCAACAACTCTCAAGCTGACTGGCTGAGTCAGAGTGCGGTAGACCATTCGGAGTGGAGTCTCCACCCCTCTCTGTTCAGGGAACTATCCTTCAGGTTCGGCACTCCCTCTGTAGACCTTTTTGCATCTCCCCTGAATGCTCAGATAAGCAGATACTTCACCAGATTTCCTTCTCAGGGAGCAGAGGGGACCAATGTGCTTCGGAGCAAATGGCCCCCGGGTCTCCTCTACACCTTCCCCCCTCTTCTGATCATTCCGGCAGTCATTCGGAAGATGTTGGAGAAGGTGGAATTGATTCTCTTGGTGCCTCATTAGTCCAGGAGACCCTGGTTTGCGGATCTGGTGAACCTATCAGTTGCTCACCCTTGGAGAATCCCGGACCACAGGGTCTCTCTACACCAGGGACCTTTGTTGCATCCGGACCCACAATGCTTCCACTTTACCATGTGGTGCTTGA